TTGTTAAATGTTAATTTTATCTGATTGACGTGATAAATATTTTTGGTGTAAAATTCGTGAAAAAACTAAAAGCCAATTATTAATATTATCCCGGAATGAAACTCTTATCGTAACTTGGGGCTTACCCTTATTTTACATTTTATATTACACCACTTTAACATGCGATGTAATACTTTTGAACCTGTTAATTTACAAATGATTAATTGAATCTGTTTGAAGACTTTATATTTTTGGTAGAAAATAAAAAAATAATTTTGAATGGGCGTGCATTTAACACTTAAGTAGATGATTTGCTGAAGTTAATATCCGTTCAAAATAATTCTTCTTAAATTTAAAAAATTGACCGACTGTGATCGGGCGGGAAGTTTACCATGTTTTGTTACCACCAAGATATAAAAATCAGCAGAATAGAAGCAAAAAGAAACGTCCTCCGGCCTCTGCATAACTTGACTATCTAACACTGATTTATTTATGTGAGCACTTGACCAACATAATTTGAAGTTTATTTCTAATATATGGATTTTTGAGCCCTTCTAGATATTGAGGGCGCCTTCGACAGAAGCCTCACATCACTCCTGATTGGGGGCCTGACATCTAAAAATGTTGACCCCACAACCATCAGATGGGTGAAGTCGATGCTCTCAAACAGAAAGGCAAGAATAGCGCTGTTTCAAACTTCGGTTGAGGTTGCAACTACAAGAAGCTGCCCATAAGGAGGTGTTTTGTCACACCTTCTTAGGACTATTGCGATTGACCAACTATTGTACAGGATGGCAGACGTTCGCATTAACACACTAGATTATACTGATGACCTTGTGGTCATTGCGAGGGGTTTTTGCCAAAGTACATTATCGTTTATCATACAAAGAGCCCTAAACACTATAAATAACTGGTATATGGATAACATTTTATCAGTTAATGCTGAAAAAACTGTTATAATGCCCCTTACCAAAAATCGCACCTTAGCAACTTATGCCATAAGGCAAAAATTGCTTTAGGTATGTGCATTCGTTTGATCAGGAACAACTGGGGCTGGCGTCCCAGTATGATCCTATAGCTATACAGCAGCGTAGTGAGACAGATTTTTACCTACGCCTCCACTGTCTAGTGCAAAAAGGCCAATCACCCGGAGGGGCTCTTATTGCACTTCTATGTCTATGGAACTTTATTTTGTAATCGCTTAACACTAACTATCTTAAATGAAAAAACAACTGCGTGGCATATTTTCTGCTGTGACACAGTTTTTGTTCTAAATTTCCGGTCTAGTGTTAAAAATGGAATTCTTTGGTAAAAAAAAATCGATCAGCTATAACCTGAAGGATCCTCAAAGCATAGTTATAAACCATTGACAGCATCCGAAGATCATCATCAAATTCATTTTGTACATGTTGTAGGAGGTGACCAGCAGACAGAAAAAATCTTGTGTCCTCTTTTATATAACAGCTTCCAACCATTATGTGTTATTTATATTTACTTTGAGACGTACCACATTAAATTTTAATGTTTAAATATTTACTATTTCAATGTTTAAGAACCAAATTATTTCTTTGAAGAAATAAATACAACACAAGGTAACTTTAACAAACACAACATTGTTTTCCATTCCTTTTATTATAAAATTTATGTGACAAACGATCTTGCTTTCCACCACATGGAAAGTGACTACGGAGGCTAAATTTTTATTTATTTATTTATTTTTATAGTATGAGGTTGGCCAACGAGCACACAGTCCACCTGATGGTAAATGGTTGCTGTGGCCCATCTACATCTATCCTTGATAACGAATCAAAATGCAGATGCGTTGTCACCCGTGAGGACTAAGACAGAATGCCTCGTTTCCAGCAAAAAGGGTATCCGATTGTTTACACTCACCAAACGGAACACAGCAGCGTTAAGCTGCTATTTGACGTTGGTATTCTGTGAGAGCGTGGTCCTTCCCCTATCGAGCCGACTCATTCGTGCCGCGACTATACCAGTAATATGGCTGCAACATGTTTCTACTACGTATTTATTACTTTTTCTTATCTTGTTTTACTGCAGTTACAAGCAATTGTACAAGCGAAAGTACGGTACGGATCGCGAAATAAAAAGTCCCGGGTATGAATCCGCCATTTTATTACTAACGTTACCACGCGAAGCACAAGCATTTTCAGCTTAATTACAGTGGTTCACCGGGATTTTTTTATTAAAAAAGTTAATGATATTCTTCCGAATATGTTCAACAAATACTATCTGAAGCTGGTGAATGACCTGAAGCAGCACGTGCTATATTGTCACAAAATACTCCAATCCAGAGGCATTCATCTCGTTCATACCGCTATCACAGCTCGTTATTATACTGGCTCTATACTCTTCAGAAAATACCTTTCTCTTATATCCACTTCAAACATTATTTAAACAGTTTCATTTACGAGTTCTTTTTTGAACTTCTAAATTATAAGTAAATTTTATTTAGGAGAGTACTAAATTACAATAGAAAGAGATTATTAATACTTAAGAGGATACGTTAAAAACGAATCGTAGTTTTGGGGGCGTGGCTTATTCCTTTGTCGGCGAAGCTCACGGATGACTGAGGGAGTGTCAAAATGGAAGTGATGCAATGACTTCATAATGCACAAATTATGAGATTGCGATACCAAGCACACGCTCGGAAAAAATACTAAGTAAGCGTCAAACAACATTTTTATTTTTTATTTAGTGGTGATTACGGTACAATTTTCCGACTGCAGGAGAGGCTCATGCCAGCACTGAACTGTTTTAAGGATGATGATGATGTTGGTGCTTTTATCGGTGATATTATGCTGTAATATTATACTTATTAAAGCTTAGCTCATAATATAGAGGATTTTAAATGATCGCCACGTTTTTGGCGGATAAACATTTATTTTACCAGATCCTTTGCACCCGAAAAATGGCCCTAGTCTCTGACCTATATAAAATAAAGATCTTGTCATTAAGAATAAATGACTTATATAATAACTTATTCTTGGTCCTAATTTCTTGGTGCAATACAGATTGAGACTTTTTTAATAGAACTTTTTTAAGTAGAAGAAATATAAATTTCAGTGATAGGTTAAGGGCCGCGGCCGTCCTTTTTTTTACTATTTTTTAAAAATTTGAAAATATTAATTAAACTAATTGCACTCATGATTTTTTATTCAAATAACCAGTTCACTTTTTTCTATTATGTCACTAAGATCAAAAAACATTATTCATGTTTCAACAGTATGTAATTTGTATCTAAATGTAATTTCAAAAAAAAAAACCGAGCAAAGCTCGATCATCCAGGTACTATAATAAAAATACTAGTCATTGACGTTTGTACTAAAAATACTAAAAGTACAAAACCTTTCGTAAGTCGGTAGAGCGTAAAGTGTAAACCTTATCTTTATGGAGTGGGTCGAGTTCAGCCGGACTAATGGTCCATGTAAACAATTATTTAAGTTCGAGTGGCCGGTTATAATATATTAGAAATGAGGAGAGGAATATAAGTAAGAAAATATATATCTAAATACACTTTCTTATGATATTACTGTATTCAACGAGCTAACAAACAGCCTAATGGTAGTAGCTAATATAATAATGGGACATCTACAATCAACTAAAAAGGCCACAGATGCGTTGTCACTACTGAGAAGTAACATGAAATTTCCTACAGCCTTTAACTATACTGACTGTGTGATCATCAGTCTGAGCCTTCATACCGCAACATAGAAGTGGGTTCAAACGTATAATAAGAAGTTAAGAAATTTAGATAAATCAGTACAAAGAAGATTGAGATGAGGATTGAAAGAAGTGATCCTTGTAACAACTTGCTTGGTCCTCACTTATTAAACAGAGTACCGTGCAGTTAAATTGGACTACTCGTATTTTGTGCTCCTTCAATTTTTTAAGGATTTCAATGGAACCGCGACAAATCCATTAAGGTCCCAGAGCTATTAATAGACTTCACCTATCATGTTCCGAAATGCAAATTTTCTCAGATCCTTTACCAATTATTGTTATAAACCAGACTTAAAAAAAGATAATTTCCCTTTAAACAACGAATCAGTAAGCTGACGTGTCAATGGGCTAATTATATAGCACTAAAAATAGACAACCGATGGGGAAGAAAGGTTCTCAAGTCGCATCAGTGTAAGAAAAGTGTAGGCGGCCCCTACTGGATCTTTAGATAAAGCTTGATAGGAAGTTGAATGCGTGGTATGCAGGTGGTTCAGAACCGCCATTTATTTTTTTACATTTCTTTGAGGAGATCTATATTCGGAAATGGATTTTTGGTAGATTGCAATAATGATGACTATGAAGAAAACTAATAAACTAACTTTGTATCCAGCTTTGTGGTCGTGGTTTTCAAAAATGCCCCAGTTTACTTAAATCATGACAATGTGTCTTTGGCTCAAACAGTAACGCGAAATGGCGTCAAAGGTACGAATCGTCTTTTACAGTACAGTACTGATATCACCAATATACCTACCAAACGGGTGAATTAAGACAAAGACGTCATACATATTGAAAGAGACTCGCCTCCAGCAGTAACTCGCCTCCAACAGGCAAAAAAGAAGAAACATAATGAAATGAACGTGAAGGGATTCAAAACATATTTTAAATAATTATTTATTTGAAAAAAAATTTAAGCCATCAAACATCTTTTCAGGAAACAGAAATAAAATAACGGAACATACAATTCACACAATTTTATTGTATCATTACAATTTCAGCCTTGCTTTTATATAGTTTATACAATATATACATACAGACAAACGACACCATAGTCACGCGTACAAAGTTAGTAAAAACTGTCAAACCGCAGACACAATAAGTAAATTTTTGGTACATATGAGAAAATAATATTATTTTATCATACAACAATAACATTAATGATAAGAAGTGTAGAAAAAGTTTTAACAAAGAATTTTTAACACATAAATATATTTTTACACTAACGATCATAACATTCTCAAATGATTGTCAGCTGTGCTGCAATCACTTTTCTCGTACTGTCATTGTCGAGATATACCGAGACTGTTCGCTAATTGTGAGCATTTCGCCACAACTTCATCCTGTAAAAGACTAAACGACATTGCTATTAATATAAGTCCGAAAACTAAATATGCACAACAAGCAATCATTTGTATATATTCGTTTTTAGAATTTTCCGCATTTTGTTTTGAAGTAAGAAAGCTGGTTGGAACAAAATCTCCAAAACCAATTGTTGCTAGAGCTATAAAACAAAAGTAAGCTGCGTCGAGGAAACTCCAATTTTCCCAAATGGAAAATATAGCAGCACCGATACAAATGTATCCGAGTAACAAAAATAACACTATTCCAGCTGGTATTTGACAGTGTTCTATGCTGTGACTCTGGTGGGGAACGCTTGTGGATGTACTGCAACTTGGAACTGCACAACTCTTTATTTTTTGGTGTTCTTCATTCCATATTAAAGGCACGCGTGATGGTGTATCATGAGGACACATTCTGTAAAGGATAAAAAATATTGCACATTTGTTTTAGCTAAAACATTAAATTAATTCGCATTTAAATGTATCTCAAAATGATTGGGATTTCAATTTCATGTAAGCTAAGAAACAAATATTTGTATCGCTCTCTTTATTTATATGAACTAAAATACAACAAGAAAATTATTCAAACTACAAACAATCTGAAAGATCTTTTAAAACATGTTTTCGACAATAATTCTATACAGCTTTTGTATCAGGTAATGAGGAAAAGATTTCCTCAAACTTGCACTTTGGAAGGTTTCAGAAGGTTGAGTTCATGTGCAAAACAGCTGCAAGAACTGTTACTTATTAAATAATTCGCCATACTAGTGCACGGGCTAATGCTGCGTAATGAAGCGATTGATTCAATTGAAAGACAAGATTGGAGGATTATCGGTGACCTGGCTAACCTCTAGTTGAAGCTAATCATTGATAATCTCAAACACACAGGCGAAGTAGCCTTTCTGCCTTTTTGCAAAGCCTTTCGGTGTTTTACAGAATGCATTTCGGAGAGTGTGCAAAGTAATCGTATGACTTAATTCCTCTTTCAACCTTACACAATCGGACAACTAGAGACTCTCAGCCAGTCTCCGACTCTTTGATGTTGGCATACCACGCTTTCGAACGAAACGATTTGCTTTTTCGTTCATCATGCGTACAGCAAAGAAATAGAAAATTTGCCCGCATATATTATTATATTTATACTTATTTATACTTACAAGGAGGCTCCAATTTCTGTATTACTTAGTAACTTGAGAAAGAAAGAAATAAATTTTCATTTTCATTTTCATCTGTCTTTTCAGACAACATAAATTTATTAAAATGGCTTTTAATAAGCTAAGTCAGTGTGTTTTCCTTTCTTCGACATCACGACATCCAATCAGGTGGATATTAATCAAAGATTAACTTATAATATTTTTTTAAAAAATCGTTTCTCAGTTTTACTACGATTCAGTATAAGAATATTTGTTTAAATAACAGAAAATATAAAATCAGTGGACTTTTTGTCAAAAATGCAAATTACTTACATTTCATCAGTATCTTCTGAATCGTCGAGATCTTCTGGACAACTATTCATAACGATTTCCCCACATTCTTCTGCTATGAGTTGATCTATGGCGACATCCCGAGGTCTTTGAATAGAGCCTCTTGGACGTTCTCTCCCTGGGTCATGTATTGTTGCCATACATTTCATGTTGGTTCTTTTTCTGTCTAATGTCTGCGTTTGAAAACTCGCTGATGAATGAGGTTCTAAAAAAAATATAACATATTTAATTACAAAATAATATGAGAAAAATGTAAAATATGCCCGCATATACTGTCGAGTTCTTTTATATATATTTTCTCTTAATTCTAATTATTTTTTATGATGACTTCGTAACACTTTCTAAATTATTATTTGAAATAATATATAATGCAAATTACCGTCAGTAAGGGTACTCCGTTTCATACGACTTAATGTCGCCGCTCTAGGACTAGCTGGTGCCTTTTCAAATACTTGAGAATATTGTCCTTTTTCACCAGCTCTAGCCTTAACAGTTTCAGTATATCTATTTGATCGTGGTGGAAAAGATGTATACTGATTATTGAGCGCTTGATGTGGGAGAAGACGTTGTTGTTCGTGTAGTTGAAAATGATTTTCCAGCTGTGGCAAGAAAAAGAGAATTTATAGTAAAATTCACATTCAAATACTCTTTATCCATCTTCTATATCTGATAGGACTGTAGTACTTTACAAAAAAATTATAAATATAAATTTGAAAGATTAGCCATGCTAAACTAGGATTATGAACGAAGTTCGCCACAGCTAATTGCTAAAGTCTCACTCTTACATAAAATAATACGCCGTGTTAGGTGAGGTTAGCACTTGAAGCAAAAAAAAATTGTATCCATATCTTCACCATTAAAATTTTCATTTTTAGAGAGATAGAGTAAGGCAAAATGATTAGATTATTACGGTTTTAGTTTCTGGATTCAAGCAACATGGTTTATTAGTGTCATAAATGTCTCTTAGAGTAAGGCTTGATGCATGCAAGCCGCCGTCATTCAAGTCAAAGCGAGACGAAATTATTCAATTCAAAAACCAAATAATTATAATAAAAGAAAATTTATCATAACAGTACAGATATATTATTGTTTCATCATTTCAAATAATTTGTTGCTATTTGTCTTGCTAATCTTGCCTATTAGGTTTTCCCTAAACAGTTTTAAAGTAGGCCCTAAGAACTTTTAAAGTCTTCGTGACGGCCTTTCGCTAGACTGAAGGCTTAAACCTCATACTATATTTATTTTAAATGCATACTAAATATTTTGAGCAATATCAACGTTATTTTTATTGCAAAGCAAATTGTTGAAAATTGTTTTAAAAGACATTATAAAATAAAACGAAGCGACGAGAAAAAATGTTGCCAACGTCTTCGGATAATAAAATTGGGAAATCATGAACACTTAAAGTAAAACTCGATCAAAACTTTGTCTAGTTAAAGTCAACTTTCACGGACACTTGGCTAATTCTATGGCACTTAGTACATCTTGTTAATAAAACTTCTCAGATATTTGACAGGTTTAAGCGCCAAAAAGTGTTCAGATCTTAATAGAACCCGACGCATTCGACGCAGAAATTTGCTTATTATAATGTCAATATCATCGAAGATGTCGCTTTCACCATTTTTCCGTTCACCCATCAATATTATGCTCAATACTTCAACTAAATAAGAGTATTCGTAGATTCATTTTAACAGTGGTAGAGCAACGCGGCAGCTTTTACTGTTGCACGTATGGGCTGGTTCTAAAACAGAGATGGTACCACGACCTCACAGAATACCAGCGTAAAATATAAGCTCTGCTTTGGCGTTTTCAGATTTATAGGTCGGCTGATTTAAAAAGAATGCGCTCTTTTTTTGCATTCGAGAGGATAGAGACCCTGGTGGCGGGTATGTTTCTTGCCGGACGATCCCAACGTTGTTGCTGATTCCATCGCTGATATGTTACTTCATGATATGGAACTTTTATTCCATGTTCTGTGGTGCCCATCGGAGGCAGATACCACCCATGATTTGGTCGCTCCTATAAGATAGCATCACGGTATAAGCAAGAGTGCTACTGGGCCTAGGCTGATGCATCAGCGTTCCGGGATATAAATACCAGCGATCTTAAAAGTAGCATAATTCTGCCTCCAGGTCCATCAAAACAGTTATTGCCAAGGCAAGGTTAGAGAACATCGGCAGAATTGTAAGAAACTAATTGGCATTCCTTCGAGAACCCTTTCATTATGGTCTCTCTGGAATTTCTGTAAGCCATCACTTTTATCTCGACACAGGGAGTAGGGCCACGCCGCAAAAGAGAAAACCGATTTTTAGGTTCCCTTTTTGCTTCCACCTCGACTTTAGATGACGGGGGGAACACACCGCTGGCCACCTCTCAGTGTGAGTGCTCTCTGTCTAATGTGCAATTTGCACAGTGCTCAGTATGCAAAGCCCTCCTCTCCCTTGACATCCACAACTCGACTGGGCCTGACGGAAATTCCTCAATTGTGCTAAGAACGCGTGCTCCTTAGTCGGCACGTTCCAGTTCTAACGTGTTTTTCTGGTACTCCTACTCCTTAGCCTTAGTCCCAAATACGTGGAAGACTACTTTTGTGCACCCGATCCCTAAAAAAGGTAACGCTCTGATTCGTCTAACCACAGGCCTATCGCCATCACCTTCTTCACGTAAATAATTGAGTCCCTCATTAACTGCCAGCCCATGTGGTACCTTGACGAGCACCAGCTGATTAGTGACCACCAACATGGTTTCCGTCGGGTTTTCTCAGCTGGTGATCTTCTTGTTTACCTTACACATTGATGGGCGCAGGCGATCGAGTTCAAGGGGGAGGTCTTGGTGGTTAGCTTGGACGTAGCAAAGGCCTTCAATCGAGTTCGGTACTGAGTGTTTCGAAGTTACCGTGATTTGGAATTCCTGAGAAATAGTGCAATTGGATCACCAATTTTCTAGATGATCGGAGCGTCAAGGTTGTAGCAGTTGGTGCAGGCTCCGGTTACAAGCCTATCAATTCTGTTGTTCCACAAGGCTGTGTGCTATCATTTACGCTGTTCATTCTGCATACCAATGAGTTGTTGCAAACCAGTAGCATTCATTCTTATGCTGACGACAGCACACGTGATACTTTTTACAGCAGCCGTGCAAATATTTCTCAGGTTCACGTCATCGAATACCGGAATAAACTCGTGCCTGAAGTCGAGTCATTATTAAGCAAAGTCTCGGATTGGGGACGACTAAATCTAGTCCAGTTTAACCCTCCTAAGACATAGGTTTGTGCATTGACAGCTAAAATAACCTCTTTGTCGTATCTCTTCAAATTCCGGGCACTCCCATTGCTACCTCAACTAGCATCGGAATCCTCCAGCTGTCAAATTTCACAAACGCACATCAAGACTATACGCACGATAACATCCACACCATCTGGATGCTTAGCAGTCTACCACTGAGCGATTAACTAGGAGTTTTCTTCCTCGTACAACCTCTTTATAGAATCGTTTACCACCAGCAATTTTTCCGGACCGATACGATTCGGGCTTTCAAGAAAAGAGCTTACTATTTGCTAAAAGGCCTGCAACATACCTGCAATTCCCCTGGTGTTGCAGTTATTCATGGGCGGCGGTAGTTACTTACCATCAGCTGAGCCGCATGCTCGTTTGCCCCTTATATTTAAAAAAATATACAGTATTTTGCCGTTATGTTGTTTTGTTTTTGATTGAAATTTTAGGGCCGAGGATTGAACAATACAATCTCCCAAAGCTTCTTTTAAAAGAAGTTTACCAACTAGCAATTTGTTCGAGGGCAATCGGCCCACTGATGGCTAGTTACTTACCACGCCCAATTTGCGCACTAGCATTACAACCTGACTGAACTATCAGCCAAAAAATTTGTAGACTACGAGGGCTCTAATAGCTCATCAAACGTGTAATCAAACAAACTAAATAACAGCAGTATTAAGATTATTAATTTCACTGTAGGTATTTATTCACCATGTGTGAGGAATTATGAATTTTGTAATCGTGATTAATGTTAAAAACTCCCTTACGCATACTTCACCATCCTTTCTCCAAGTATTAGGCGTCTTGTTTTTAGTAGCCTTGAGCCATGCTATCCTCACGAGCCGAGCTAATGATGCACCTAGGCCTGCCAAGCATGCCAGAGTCAACGGCACTCCAGCTGCTGCGTAGGCCACTGTTGCTGCTCGCCCAGCAGCCGTGCGTGGAGAAACATTACCGTAGCCTAAAAACAGCTTAATCTTAATAACTTTACACGTTATCAGCCTAGACGAATCCAAAAGCATATCGGCGCACAAAATAAGCAGAAAATTGCAACTACACTACGTTTGAAGTAAAAAATCTTCAAACGTAATGTAGTTGAAATTTTCTAGTCTAAAATACTCGTACACTAGGCTTCTCGGCAGTATATTAGAATATACGGGATCAATATAAGTTCAAACTAGATAACATCACTATTAAAATTATTAGTTTCATTATAAGTATTTATTCACCATGTGTCTAGCGATAAAAAATACATAGAAAAATATTATACATCAAAATAAACCTTATGCCAGACATTAAACTATTCAAGACTGTGGCCATACACATGCCCTTTACCCTTTTCCCTATCATACTGTAAATGAGAAGTAAAAAAATTGTATGTGCACTCCAATGCGACGTTTACAGGATCTTTATTTAAATAAGTATCCTTGGAAAAAATAGGCTAAACGCATTGGCATAATATTTTGTTAAGGGATTTTTTGAGTTCCGTTCTGTAATTGTAAATCTTATGGAATTATCTCGATGTCTGCTTGTCTGTTTATATACCACAGAGGTTAAAATCAAAGTGTTTTAAGTTGGACTTACCTAGTCTGACTCTTTATCTTAGGTGAAACTACTCGTCAACATCTTCGAGCTTAATACTCCCAACTAATACCATATTCTACATATGCCATTATTAATTGTTACATTTGAACTTCATTTTGTCCATGCTAATATTAAGACCTCATAAAACTTTACAACTTTACTATTGATAATATGCCTACTCTTAGTAATGCCACAAAGCATGGCTCTGAGCCTGAGCTTGCCAGGTCGTCACTCTATTTAGTTTACGGACGTCATGTGAGAAATCAACCAAATAAAAAAGTTGAGTTGAGGCTTTTGTTACGATAAAACAGGACGATTTAAGATCAAGGGCTACATCATCACTTGCTCTCAGGTGTCCTACCTTAGAGTAAGTGATGATATAATCAAGGACATCTTGTTGAATTGAAAGTTCTTAAAAATACCATTAAAAAATAAAATAATTTCTGTGTTTTACGATGTGATATAAGGTTTTTCGGAATAAATGTCTTGATACGCCTGTTCTCCAGAACATCACCAAAAATTTCGTAAAGAAATGTCTTCAAGAATTATTAATGTAGCTAAAAACTATAATAAAATAGTCAAAACTACGTTATTCATTAAACGTCTTTCAAGAAAATACTTAAAAATTGCTCTACGCAATCGCTATGAGCAATCTAATAAGAAAATTTAGCTGATTGCAAGAAACGCTAACTGTGCTTATAATAGGCATATAATTACCTATTGTAGTGATGAGAGTTATACAATAGATCAAGGCTCTAGAAAACGTCCATTGGTTATCTAAAGCCAGCTCTGGAGATTGTGCTTCTGGTGACTGTCGCGCTGCTGCTACTATAGACGACTCGAATTTGTGAAGCTGCTCGTGCACCAGTCTCGTCCAGTTTCGTTCGTAAAGAACGTTCAATCGTTCTGTAACAATAAACATCAATTAAATATTTTTCCCAGACTTGAAGTTCTTTTTCAGAAAGGAAAATAAAAATATATTGATTCAAACCCCTTTTATAATAATGTAAAAAATATTAATCAAACTCTTAACTTTAAATAAATAATGTTTTAATACGATCTACTTTTCAAAAAGCTAACGCAATTCTTTTTATTGCAATGTACACATTAGTCAGTCTATTACATTTAGCATTATTTTTTATTTTACCCTCACTTTTTGCCTATCGAACCTTTTTAATTATCAGATCAGGACTTAGAGATTGATTGAAGTAATGTAACAACTTGTAGTCTCATCATACTAAATCAGGCACAAGTCAACGGCACGCCGCAATGTTACCAGCGTAAATTGTTCAATTTTTCAGTTCCCGCTTATCTCGCTCAACCTAGTAATTAGTGCGCTCATTTCCTTTTTATAACACAAAAGAAAGGAACTGCTAAGATTTTTCTTTTAAAATTTTATTTGACAAAGTGCTTCTAAAATAATTTTTCTTATTATTGAAATTTTGATGCGTAAATATATTAAGTGACGTAAAGTGAGAGAGCATTTGAATAATTGTATATATATATTAAATTTAGTTGTAAAAATAAATAATAATAGCTGCAGCTACTACCTCGATGTTCTAAAGTCTAGAAGAAGTAGTAAATTCGATTAACTTCGCTGATCTTGAGGTTCTGGGTTCGAATCCCGGGGCAAAAATTATTTAATGGTTTTTTTTTTTTTTTTTTTCTTTTTTTTTTTTGCCTTTTGTGTTGTTTGTAGTTTAATGTTTTTTTTGTCATGATGATCTCAATAGCAGCCCGGAGTCAGGTTGACCGGAGTCAGGCCTCGGAAATCACTTGCGCATACACTTAGACACTATAATCTTGTTCTGTACAAATGGCTGGTCTCCGCTGAGACCAGCTGTCGTGACCTAAATTCACTCTGAAGGACATTGTTATATATTAAATTTACTTTATAAACAAATAATAATAGCTTCATTAAAAAGTCATTAAAAAATTGTCTTCTATATCAGCAATTACTACAACGTTACTTAATGCGAACATCATTATAGCATCAGAGCTCCGGAGTCACTCTAGATTTGTACAACTCTGTTACATGCTACACAGGCAGACAGTATGATAATAAAATATGCGATATTTCAATCGTCCTCAATTGTGAAAAGACATCAGTTGCCTTATTTGCTTGAAGATTATGGCGGATATCTAGAGCTGTCTAAGTTACTTTTAAGGGACTAATAGCTAGTTCATCACTTTCATTAAATAAGTTTAAATGTTTTATCAAAGAAAAAATGTATAAAAAGGATTATTATTATATCGAAGAATACATAAATAGAAATAACACCTGGGTATGAGGTGATCGCCACCATGCTGGTTCTATAAGAATTCATTCAAAAATTGTACAAACAATATTATTGTAAAATTAAATAATATGTTTAAAAAAGAAAGTCCCGCTGGGTTTCTTGCTGTATCTTCCCAGGATTTTTTATATACTATATTGAATTTTAAAAATCATTCATTACATTTCATTTGATATTATTTTAAAAAGGTTACACTCTTTATTTTTTAATAAGATTTTATAGTTTTTTTTTATTCTAATTCTGTGGACCCCCGGTAATCCGGCTCTTGGTTAATTCTGTCCCTCTTGTAATCCGACATGCCTTTAACATGCAGGTACAATCGAGTCGCGTTATGAAGGTCAGACAGAGTCAGAGAGGACATCTGTTCTCGACGCCTCGGCAGACTTGAAGGTTCGGACCTGTCCATCCTTTGGCTACGCGTAGACAGCGACGACCATCCGCGCGTCTACGGGTGCCTCTATAGGTCCCATAGCGGTAATGCCGAAACAGACCGACTCTTCGATCACGTCCAAATGGCTGCAGATTCGTTGCTACAGTAGATCCCCTCCGCAGAGATCGTGATCCTCGGCGACTTTAACGCCCATCACGCCGAATGGCTCGGTTCACGTTTAACCGATCATGCGGGGAGATCTGTTCATGATTTTGCCTTGGCATATGGTCTGACACAACTGGTTACTTCGCCTACGCGGATTCCAGATGTGGAGGATCATGCACCTTCCCTGTTGGACCTTCTGCTGACCTCTAACCCGGACGGATATCAGATTTCCGTCGACGCCCCTTTAGGCTCCTCGGACCATTGTCTTGTCCGGAGTGTGGTGCCACTCACGCTGAAATCGCGGTTGCATTCTGCAGGCTGCCGCCGTGTTTGGCACTATAGGTCAGCCGATTGGGATGGGATGCGGTCTTTCTTTGCATCCTACCCTTGGGGGCGGGTTTGCTTCTCGCCGGACGATCCCAACGTTGTTGCGGATTCTGTCGCTGATGTGGTACTTCAGGGTATGGAACTTTTTATTCCTTCCTCTGTGGTGCCCATTGGAGGCAAATCTCAGCCATGGTTTGGTCGCTCCTGTAAAATAGCATCATGCTATAAGCAGGAGTGCTACCGAGCCTGGGCTGACGCATCAGCGTCCAGGCATGTAAACACCAGCGCTCTAAAAAAGAAGTATAATTCCGCCTCTAGGTCCTTCAAAAGAGTCATTGCCAAGGCAAAGTCAGAGCACATAGGCAGAATTGGCGAGAGACTAGTTCGTCTTCCTTCTGGAACCCGTGCATTCTGGTCTCTCGCCAAGGCTGTCCAGGGGAATTTCTGTCAGCCATCTCTTCCATCTCTGCACAGGGAGGACGACACACTGGCCCACACCGCAAAGGAGAAAGCCGATCTTCTAGGCTCTTTCTTTGCGTCTAACTCGACTCTCGATGACGGGGGGAGTACGCCGCCGACCATCCCGCGGTGTGAGTGCTCCATGCCGGAAGTGCAGTTCACTCAGCGCTCGGTTCGCAAAGCACTCCTCTCCCTGGACATCCATAAGTCGAGTGGGCCTGATGGAATGGACGTGTGCTCCAGAGTTGGCACCGGTTTTAACGCGTCTTTTCCGGTACTCCTACTCCCTAGGCGTAGTCCCAAAATCATGGAAGACGGCTTTCGTCCACCCGATCCCTAAAAAAGGCGACCGCTCAGACCCGTCCAACTACCGGCCTATCGCCGTCACCTCCTTGTTCTCCAAAACAATGGAGTCCATTGTAAACTGCCAGCTCATGAGGTACCTTGAGGATCACCAGCTGATTAGTGACCGCCAATACGGTTTTCGCCGTGGTAGGTCAGCTGGTGATCTTCTGGTCTACCTAACTCACAGATGGGCGGAGGCAGTAGAGTCCAAGGGGGAGGCATTGGCCGTTAGTTTGGACATTGCGAAGGCCTTCGATCGGGTTTGGCACAAAGCGCTTCTTTCGAAGCTCCCTTCCTATGGGCTTCCCGAGAAATTGTGCGATTGGATCACCAGTTTTCTTGCGGATCGGAGCATCAAGGTCGTTGTAGACGGTGCAAGCTCCGATTGCAAGCTTATCAATGCTGGTGTTCCACAGGGCTGCGTGCTATCGCCAACGCTGTTTCTTCTGCATATCAATGATATGTTGCAAACCCGTAGCATTCATTGCTATGCAGATGACAGCACTGGTGATGCTCTTTACACCGGCCGAGCCAATATTTCTCGGGAAAACGTCTCTGAGTGCCGGGACAAACTTGTGTCTGAAGTCGAGTCTCTGCTGGACAGAGTCTCGGATTGGGGGCGACTAAATCTAGTCCAGTTTAACCCCCAGAAGACACAAGTTTGCGCGTTAACCGCTAAAAAGAACCCCTTTGTCGTATCCCCTCAGTTTCAAGGCACTCCCCCTTGTTGCCTCAGCCAGTATCGGAATCCTCGGCGTCGACATATCGAGTGACGTGCAGTTTCGTGGTCACTTGGAAGGGAAGGCCAAACTGGCCTCTAAAAAGCTTGGCGTGCTCAGCAGAGCGGGACAGTATTTCATGCCGGCACACCGCCTGCAACTTTACAAGGCGCAGGTTCGGCCGCTCATGCAATACTGTTCCCATCTCTGGGCTGGGGCTCCCCAGTACCAGCTCCTTCCACTTGACCGCATCCAGCGCAGAGCGGCTCGAATCGTCGACGACCGAGTGCTTTCCGATCGGCTCGATTCACTGGCGCTGCGAAGAGATGTTGCATCTCTTTGCGTATTTTATCGCATCTATCACGGGGAGTGCTCTGAGGAATTGTTCAGATTAATCCCAGCCGCCAAATTTCGTGAACGCACTACACGGCAAACGTCCCGATACCATCCACACCATCTGGATGCTTGGCGGTCCACCACTGTACGTTTCAAAAGGAGTTTTCTTCCGCGTACAACCTCTGTGTGGAATAATTTACCACCGGTGATTTTTCCGGACCGATACGACCTGTGGACCTTCAAGAAAAGAGCTTACTCCTTTCTAAAGGTCCGGCAATGCACCCGCAATTGCCTTTGTGTTGCGGTTGATCATGGGCGGCGGTAGTCACTTAACATCATTTGAGCTTCATGCTCGTTTGACCCCTCTCCTATAAAAAAAAATCCGCCACCGGGGGACGTGGCTTTCGCCAATACGTGGACAAACCGGTTGCAATTAGTTTGCATCACCACGAATCTAGCTTGACCTGTATCGTCTCAGTTTAAATGTGACTATGGTAGCACCCTAGCGGGCATTCATTATTTGCTGTTTAGATATTCATTGTGCATCACATGACTATTTTAATTTTATATTTGATATATAGGTAACTTGTCGGATTACAAGGTACTTTTTTTCAAAAAGTTCCGGTGTTATATAGTTCGACTTATTTGATAATCCGACAGGGTCTTGCACAATATTTGTCGGATTACTGCTGGTAGTTAGATCACTAGGAAGTTGCTGCTGCTCAACTCCTGTTTAAGTTTTCTCCTGGAATCTGCATCTTTTATAAAACCCACGGTACTATATATTTAAATGGACATTCTTACACCGCTACTACGGGTTCTTAATAATTGGATACACATACATACATCTTTATATATATATATATATATATATATATATATA